CAAGTCTAACACAAAGATTTTGTGTTATAAACAAATGATTTCAAATATCTTATCAAAATGGATTTTCAGTTATCATCAAATCAAATGGTTTTCAATGATTGTATCAAAATGACATCAAGTCATCAAAATGTATTTCAAATTATTAAACTTCTTTTAAATGTTTTTATAAACTTATATTTCTCCCGAAAATCATACTTGTTTATATATATTTATATAAATAAGATTTAAAAGGCTTAGGACTGATAACCCACTTTGGTTCCTTTTCCTTGTTTGGATGTGGGATTACAAGTATCAGTTATTTGTCTGAGTGTCATTTAAATTTTACTTATATATATATATATATATATATATATATATATATATATATATATATATATATATTTGTATTCAAGTATAAAAGTTAGTTCATTAAGTTCAATTACCATTTGTAACATGTTGAGCAAGGGGTTGCATTCATGAATACTCGGTATCAATTCAGAAAGTACATATAAATTATAATAGGTATTATTTATGATTCACAGAACATTAATTCACGATTTAAGTATACTAAAGTACATTGTTTTACAAGAACAAAGGTTTGATTCAAAACTAATCAAGGATATACATCTTTCAGATACATGTTAAGAATACTAATTCAGGAACATACTGTCAATCATTTATTTCAGAATGATTGGGTTTTCATAACTATTATACATGTAACGTTTATATGCTTTTTTTATGAGTCATTTGATACAGGTTGTTTAATTCATTTAAACAATATAGTTAAAGTCCTGACATTATAACCAGAATCTCCAGTTGGGGATCGAAACAATGTGTGTATAGATCTATATTGGGATTGACAACCCCGCACTCAGACTGCTAGCTACAGTCAGGCATACACGCCTACGAGTGACAATTGTTATCAACAATTTTCAACGCATTCATAGCGTTGGGTCAGGCCATCTAGTCAGTATGGTTATAATAACTCATATAAAAGATATTAACAATACGTTAATGTATAATTAACTAAACTTAAGTACATTTTCAAAGTACTATTTTACAAGATAAAATTTACAGTATTACATTACAGTTTACAATAACAGTTGATGAAACCAGGCACACTCTCAGATACAAGTTTACAAAAGGATTACAAATTCAGAACATTGGTTCACAAATAGAACAATTTTATGTAACTAAAACTACTTTTCATATACAACAGAAAATATAGGATTTTCTGGAACAATTTACATATTCAAGAAACAGAAAACATTCTTTCAAATATAAATACTTATGCACTCACTCAACTTTATGTTGATACTCTCTTTTCAAATTACTTGTATTCTCAGGGAATCAGTAGACAGGTACTCCTCGTGCTTTTGAGAAGATGGAGCTATTTATGTCTTGTCTTCTTCTTTTGTATAACTATTTGGTTTCAGTATACAATGATGAAACACATGTAAATACTTATACTTTTTAAATACAGTGGTTGTTTGTACTCTGATTACTATAATGCATGTGTTGTGATACTACAAATGAATTCCTCCACCCCCCGACGTTTCCGCCGTCTGGTTTGGGGGTGTGACACCTCTACCCCTCAAAACCTTACTAAATTCCCCTAGGAACCCCAAAAATCCCGGACTCAGGAAAGAATAGTGTTTGAGAGAGAATGACGTTGGAATTCGGTGTGAAAAAGAATAAAACGGGAGTCCTATATATACTAAAGGCATCGTATGCCGCGTAGGGTCAATAGGCGCGCCGTGCCTAATGGTTTTGTTGGCTCCTCTCAGCATTCGCCACGTGTTGTCGCCAGATCTTGCCACATCTTCTACCACGTGGCGCACTTTGGTGCCGCCACGTCATCAAATCAGGTATTTTCCTGAAATCTTCGGATGGCCATAACTTTTGCATACGAGCTCCATTTTTGACGTTCTTTATATTCATGGAATCCTCTCGACAAGCTCTACAACTTTCATTAAGGTTTCAACATCTAATTCTTGCTCTAACAAAAATTCATTTTTCGATTGGTTTAGACTGTTAAAGTCAGTGTGAAATTCATAACTTCTTCATACGAACTCCGTTCTCGACTGTCTTTTGATCGACGACACGAGTTCTTCAATTCTCATTTAAATTGTTTCGGCTAACAATCAACCAATTAGAATTTCGATTTCTGTGTCCACACTACTGCGTTGAAACTTCAAAAAGTCATAATTTTCTCTCACGAAGTCAGGTTTGGACATTCTTTATATGCATGCTCTCGGTTTAACGGCTAATACAACTTTCGTTTAGATCACTTAGGCTAAGAAGTAATTTATCAAAAATTCACTTTTTACAAGACGCAGAGGCATGTCGGTTTAATCACGAAACTTCGAAGAATCATAACTTCTTCATACGAAGTCGAATTTCAGCGTTATTTATATGTACGGAATCATTGTCACATACACTTTAACTTGTTTAAGTTTATTTACCCTAAATAATCTTCTATAAAAATGTCATTTTTATAGCTTATTTTATTTTAATTGACTAACATGAATATGCGGGTGTTAAATAAGAAAACATCTTATGACCATTTATAACTAAAGGTATAAGATAACGAATGAAATATCATGAGTATCATGAGATATACTTAACTAGAGATGAATCTGTAAAGTTCTACGAAACTTTTTGGTTTCAAATTGAGTAGTCAAATTTTTAAAGTTGAACTATATAATAAATACTAAAAAAACAAAATTGAATTGGATTAAAAACTTATGATCCTACTATAGACAGATCCTAATATGATCTGGATCCCTAGCCGTAAGATTTTAAAGTTTTAAGAGGATGCATGGTAGTAATTAATATAAAGGGATAAAACATGGTACTTGTAAAGTATAAAAAATATATCAATTTAAAAAAAAAAATATGGTTAGAACGAGGTCCAATGAGAATGAGAATGAGAAATCGAAACGTGGCACCAAGGTAAGCGATGTACTCCCAAAATGAGTTTTTTTTTTTACCAAAGTGGTGCATCTCAAAAACATATTTACTAAAATGGTGTTGTTTTAAAAATATTTATCATTTAAGTTAAATTTTATTCCAAATCAAAATTAAAACTAAAAACACGCTCCCACAAACGTCGTTGCTCCCTCCCAACTTCACTTCTTTATTTCGACGACACCTGTCACCGACGAACACTTCTGCCACAGTCGATGTCAGCAACTCCCTCCTCCACCACAGAAGACGTTGACAACTCCCTCCTCTACTACACATATCGTTGATTATCTCTCCGTCATTGCAGATGTCGTCTGATTTTCTTGACAACCACAACAGCCACAGTTGAAGCACCTATGTTAGTTCGAAAGTCGAACTATGGATGGTGGCGGGGCAAAGATCGATCAATGAAGCACCTCTTTTAGTTTGAAAGTTGAATTAAAGAATTGATGGTTCAAAATCCAAATTAAAGAACAAATGAATTTAGGTGATGTTTAAATAGCCAAAGTCATCGCAAAACCCGATGGAACGAATCCAAGAGGACATCCTAAATCTGATTTTGGTAACAAATCCATATATCCATTCAATTTGTCCAAACACCCTCTATTATGAATCCAGATCACTCCTTAAATTCCTAATTGTGATAACACAAAACAATGTTTGATTTGCAGGCGGGGAACGAATTAGGTTGAAAATCTGATTTAAAAAACATCTACTGAAATCGACTATAAATCACTTAAGAAACCTAATTTTTTAGTGGTAAACACATCTCATCGTTGTTTTCGTTTTTAAAAGCGAATCCGTTTGAGAAATCTAATTTTGATGTAAGTCGATTTTGCTGAAGAACATAACAATTGAGTTTTTGTGTTTTCCCTGGTATATCCTGTGAAGGATGCCAGATCTCAGCTTTTGTTTTGAGATTTTTGTTGAAGAATAAAGCAGCAAACACATCCCCGCTCTCGTATTGATTTGAGTAAATTATACGAATGGTCCATATGGTTTGGGGTAATTTACACGTTTGGTCTGTAACTTATTTTTTTTAACTCGGAAGGTCCCTACTGTTTGTTTTTGTTGCGCGCTTGGTCCCTGTTTTACTTAAAAAGACTATTCTACCCTTGACTTTTTAATTTATTTAAATAAACACACCCCAACCTCACATCCACCTCACCTTACCTTACGTACCCTACCTTATTTAAATAATTTAAAAAATCAAAGACACAATAGTCTTTTTAGGTAAGACAGATGTCAAGCACGCAACAAAAACAAACAGTAGGGACCTTCCGAATTAAAAAAATAAGTTAGGGACCAAACGTGCAAATTACCCCAAACCATAAGGACCATTCGTGTAATTTACTCTATTGATTTTGTGTCGGAAACATTCTAGGGCGAGGAAAGAGAACGAGGGGAGAGAAAGGAGGAGGGTGGTTGACGGTGGTGGTGGTGGCGGAAACAAGGTAAAAGGGTATTTTTGTCTTTTTAAAAATTTTAACATCTCCTCCATTAAAGGTGAACAATTGTTACCAAAACCTTCCATAGCACCAGTAGTGTTACTTTTCTAAAAATAGGACCAAAAATATTATAACGAGTAAACCAGATGGACCAATACTGTAATTTACTCTATTAAAAAGGTTAAAAAAACACTTTTATAGTAAATCAATAGCTGAAAGTTAAAAATAAATACATAAATAAATTAATTAATTGAACAAAAACATTGATTTGGCAAAATATTTTGAATAGTTACTCTTTTGGTAAATATGTTTGAAAGTCCACCTATTTGGTATATATTTTTTTTTCAAAAACATGATTTTGGTTGTAAAAAAAAAAAAATTTAAAAATTAAAAAAAAAAAAGAACTCAGCCAAAAGAGGAAAAGAATCTGGATGGATGTTTGAGAAGTAAGATTGATAAAGAACTTTATTTAACCACAACCACCAACCATGCGAAATTGCCAATGAAAATGAAATAACGAATTTAAGAGCGACTCCATCACAGTGAAAAGTGAAAACAATAAAATTCTCCAATAATATTATCTTGTATTTCAAAAAAGTCAAAAGAAAAAAAAAACATTTTAATGTGATTATTGTTTTATTATGAAGCTTAGCATACCATGGTAAATAAAAAGAGTTTTGTAACCAACAAGAATTAAGTAATTAAAGATGCAAATGCAGTTGGGTTTATATGTTACACACATCAATAAATTTCTGAACTGCATTGTGGTATTGAGTTCCCTGCATGCAAAATCCATCCATAAACATAATTAATAATATAATATTACTGAAAAAAAATGAATAATGTTGTTGTAACACACGAACAAGCAGAGAAGAGAGGACCTCCCAATAGAGTTGATTGCAGTCTGTGCACTGCCAGAAGTGGATGTTCCTGTCAAACAAGCAGTCAGGGATGACTTGAAATCCCTTTGCTGCTTCAAGCGCCTCTTCCATGGACAGTGGTTTTTGGATAAACCTGCCATTGCATTTAGTGCACCTTGACATCAGCTGATCCTCACATATTTTCAACTCAAAACTTTCAATCACCTGCAAAACATTAAACATCCACATTTTAACTTTACTTTGTAGTTTGTAGGGTACCTAATATAAACTAGCAATTTTGCATCCCATACCTCAATTAGCTGGTCGTTTTTTAATAGGCTTTTCACTCTGTATATCTGATTTCTTAACAGATACTCATGTCTCAACAGCTTCGCATCCCTTGTCAGAACAACTCTCTTCTCTTTTATAGCTTGATCTATCAACTCCCTGAACATCACCAATCATATTTAAATTTTTTCCAACTTTATCATATCATAACAACTCATATACCTGCTTTCTGGCTTTCTAGAATGGGGAACAGCAGCATCAATCCCAACACATCTTAGATGTTTCGCCAACCCCTCCACCTAAAATATATATTTATAAGATTTTTTTTTTAAAAAAAAAACTATGGTATTGCTGCTTACCATGACATCGCACAGAAACTTTGGGCTTCCATCACCCCCCACCAAAATGTCCCATGGTGCTGGGCCCTGCCAATGCCATTCATCAGTGTCATATACTCGCTGTTCTTTACATTTAAAACCAGTAGTCGAGGATTTCCTTTTTCCTTTTCTTTTTGATGTTTTCGGCTTTCCATCTGTTTCTGTCAAAACTATTTTATCACCATATTCTCTTACAATCTGCAACACCATGTAATCCATTGATTTCCTAAAACTTGCTCCCACTTCACCAATACCATCTACTCTTTGAGGGTATTCAATAATCGTAGCTGTAGCTCTCACCATCTCCACAGCCTCACAAAATCTGGTACTCAAGATTATTGTGGAACTGGTAGGTTCCCTCAGAATCTGCTTTAACCCCAGATTTAAACTTGAACTACTGACTTCACTCAGATTTCCCAAGGCCCCTGCAGTGAGCACAACCTATAGCTTTCAGTATGAGCTGAGCAACTTCATATTGTGAACAATAAAAGCCAAACCTTCTTTGGCAACTCTCTGCTGAAAGAAATCGAAAATCTCAATCAAACAAAGAGCATCTGTAGCAGCGTAAGTCCTTTGGTCTTCTGTAAGAGGACGAACTGACCAATCACTGCATTGAAGTTCCTGAAACAAGATTATTATACTCTTCAGAGTTCAAAACAGGACATTTGTAAATCCTTCCTAAAATACCAAATGCAAGTGCACAGAAATAGAAATAGGAAAAAAGACAAAACCTTTGAAAGAGATATGCCCAGAAGTTCCTCACATATGAATGATAGGCTCTTGGTACCCTTGGTCTTTCTTCTCGTTTGCTTCTGATGTAGATGACTGTATATGGTTGCAATATCCAAAAATGGCTCCACCTTTTTAGTTTTTACCGAGAATAAGCATCACAATAATTAGATATTAGTTTTCAAATTCCTTTTCGGTTATGACTAAATGATGTGCGAGGAAAAGCTATTACATAACACATGATGCACGAGTGCTAATCATATGTAAAATTCAGACCGACGTGATATATAAGCTACGCAAAGGGATTGTGATTACAAAATACATTATCATGCCAATTAGACGTACCCTATCAAAGCCAGAATCACATCCCTGAGAACGAAAAGTAGATGACAAGTAAACCAGGTCTTGTTTAAATCGAAACCCTAGCTTTAAAATATCCGGAGATACGAATACGTCTCTTAGCAGCTCGTAGATCGAAGGCAAAAGGATCTCCGATAGGTCTACTAGGAAGACTATCGACTTGTCGTGCTCCTGAGTTGACTCGTCGGAATTGAGTCGACAAGCGATTTGGAGAAGCAAAACGGTGGGGAAGGTGGGTTGGTGCGCTCGGACAGGCTTCCATTCGGCGTCGAGTCCGATGATAGAGGAATGAGTCAGTGCCCAGTTCAAACGAGCGAACTCGGGAGAGTCGGTTGACGAGACGAAGTGGATGTGAAGAAGGTTACGATTGGCCTTGGAGGGTTCCGGTTCCATGTTTGAAGTGCTGGTGTCCATGTCTCATGTCCTTCTGCTTACTGCAAGTAACATGACCCGCGATGGGTCTTTGTAGCCCGATACGGGTGTTTATACAGTTATACTGTATTGTCTCATGGTACTTAAATCGCTTATCCATACGGATAGGGGTGAGGATGGTGCGGTTTTAGGGCCAAACCAAACCGCAAGGTGCGGTTTTTAAATTCTAGAAACCGTTGGGTGTGGTTTTCAATGGTTCGGTTTTGCGGTTTTTGAGTACGGCTTCAGTTTGTACCGGTTCGGTGTCGGTTTTAAATCGAGTCAAACATATGGTGCAGTTTTTTATGTTCACCGGTACGATTTTTTTAACCGTGATGTTCATGTGAAGATTAAAGATTGTATGAAATGGTGTCATTTCGTTTCCTCAAATTTAAAAAAGCTGTAATTTTGAGTTTTTTATGTTGTTTACTTGATAACTTCATTTGCAACCCATATTCTCAAGCTCATTTTTTTTATTCAATTTGTGCTTAGAAGTTACAAGCTTGCAAATTGTAGCCCACACAGTGCTTACCTTTACACATAATCATTAAGTCACAAACACAAAGTGACAAACTCACATATTAAACCTAATACCTAATTACTAATTACCGTCAAGTTCAATATATAATATATGTATAAATTAGAATTTATTAGTTTTTTAAATAATATGTATAACTGTATGATATAAATTAGTGATTTATTTTATTGTTAATAAGCTTGCGGTGCGGTTCGGTTTTGATGGTCCGGTTTCTAGATAAAAACCGCACCGCACCAATAAATTCGGTTTTTCAAAAAAATAAAATTTGCACCATCGGTTTTTGCGTCGGTTTCAGTTTTTCGGTTGCGGTTTTTGCAGTTTTTCTTTTATCGGTTTGGTTTTTGCTCACCCCTACGTACGGATCAATTTGAAAATAGGTTCGTTTTTTCTATAATGGTCAAAATCGATTTGGGAAAAAAAAGTCAAACCCATAGGATTGGTTTTGAAACACCTATCTATGTTTTTGTCATTTCACAACTTGATTTTTTTAAAGGATGATATTTCTTTACTTTTAACTTATAAAAAAAATATTATTATTTTGGACAATCCAGATGATACTGAGTTTCCAAAAAGAAAAAGTTTTGGGAGCCTCCATCAACAACAATTTAAAAAAATAATCGCTGAAAATGATATTTTTATGTCATTGAAAATAGGTTTTTTGTAAGTTTAAAACCATTTTTTCAAATTGGTTTCATTCATATGTCAAACTCATCCCAAATCGCATGTTTAGCTTTAAAACTAGTAAGAATCATTAAATTGATTTTAATGTAAACCAAAAATCACACATTCTTACGTTTCCGTGAGAAATATCAGATGTTTTTAGAACATTAATACAAAACTTATGCAATCTTTTGATTTATTTATAAGAGCTTGTTTAAATTAAAATTAGAAGGTTATGTTTATTATAAAGAGTTTTTTTGAAATATACAATTTGCCAATTTGGTGAAGTGGAGATTATATAGTTTATTAATGTAGGGAAATCTTCAGAAAAGTCCCAATATTTACGGAAAAATTACACTTTAGTCACAAGATTTTTTTTTTTAACGAAAAAGTCCTGAAAACCGGTAAAAATTTGCAGTTTGACCCTTTTTGACCGGTTGAAACCGGTACCAAATTAATTTGAGACTATTTCATAAACTAACCCAAAATATGAGAACTTTTCTGTAAACAAAAAATACTATGACTTTTCTGTAAACAAAAATATTATGACTTTTCTACAAACAAAACTCTTATTATTATTATTATTATTATTATTATTAAAAATATAAATAAGAATACTATTTTTTGAACTTGTTATTATTAATATTGTTACTAATACATATAAATGCATTTAACTGAAAAAGTAATATTAATGATATTGTTTAAGGGTGGAGGTGGAGGAGATGGTGATGCTTTTAGCATTGAAATCATGAATGTTTGCTTGTATATTTTTAATTTGTATATGGTCATTTAACATTTGTTATTATTGTTTTCAATTCAGAATAATAATACTTAACAATTTAAAAGAAGTTGTATATTTGTAAAATTGTTTGTAAATAGTTTAAGGTAGAATGATTTCTTACTTTGTATATAAAAATGTTTAAGGTAGAAGGATTACTTTCCAAATCCAACACATCCACTACAAACATCTACATAGGTAGCCCATATCAAAATTCAAAAGTATTAATTACAATATATTGTTTAATAAAAAGTAATAGGACATGTTTTTTGGATTAATACTTTTGAATTTTGATTAATACTTTTGAATTATTCCTATTACTTTTTATTAAAAAATATATTGTAATTAATATTTTTGAATTTTGATATGGGTTACCTATGTAGATGTTTGTAGTGGATTTTTTGGATTTGGAAAGTAATTCATCTACCTTAAACAATTTTATATACAAAGTGAGAAACTTTTCTACCTTAAACTATTTATAAACAGTTTTACAAATATGCAACTTCTTTTAAATTGTTAAGTATTAATATTCTGAATTGAAAACAATAATAACAAATGTGAAATGACCATATACAAAGTAAAAATATACAAGCAGACATTCACGATTTCAATGCTAAAAACATCACCATCTCCTCCACCTCCACCCTTAAACAATGTCATTAATATTAATTTTTCATTTAAATGCATTTATATGTATTAGTAACAATATTAATAATAACAAGTTCAAAAAATAGTATTCTTATTTATATTTTAATAATAATAATAATAATAATAATAATAATAATAATAATAATAATAAGGGTTTTGTTTGTAAAAAAGTCCTAATAATTTTGTTTACAGAAAAGTCCTAATATTTTTTGTTTACAGAAAAGTCCCAATATTTTGGGTTAGTTTACGAAATAGTCCCAAATTAGTTTGGTACCGGTTTCAACCGGTCAAAAAGGGTCAAACTGCAAATTTTGCCGGTTTTCAGGACTTTTTCGTTCAAAAAAAAAATCTTGGGACTAAAGTGTAACTTTTTCATAAATATTGAGACTTTTCTGAAGATTTCTCATTAATGTATTCAAGTATCAACTTAAATAGAATTGATTTGACATCCGTGCATGATTGAATTGCATAACTGAAGTAGTCAAACATAGGTTCAGAATCTCTTTACTTCAATTCTTTTTTAATACATTTTTATTCAAAAAAAAATACAAATTATTTTACAAACACCCCCTCCACATTGATTGACTGAAACATGTTTTGTGAAAAGAGGCACAACCATTAACCCTATGTTTTCATGCCATTTGTAGACTGGTTCTGCTTACTTTATATTTTTTTTTGAATCGGCAAATACACATATTATAATCTACTCCTAAACTAACACCTAATTTCACATATGTCCACCACGGGACTTGAACCTTCGACCTCAAGGAGGGAGAGAACCACCTGATACCGTTGGACTAATTCCACCTATGTTCTGCTTACTTTATACTACGTTTATAAGTATTGTAACAATGACTTGGAGTTATATTTGTGATCATTTGTATTCGTTGTGTTGACGTCGTAACAAAGTCTACTAGACACTAGCTATGTCTCAACACCAGCTTCCCCGTCCCTTGTTGGCCATCTTCTCCGATCGCTTGCTCTCGCCATCTTCTCTTGTCACATTCTTTATTAGGACATAACATCGTTACAAGTATATGCTTTTTTGAGAATTTTTTTGATTAAAATAAATTTTTAATTTTTTTTTTCATTGCAATGTTTTTATGAGCCTACATTTCAAAATGAACATGTTAGTTTTGTAATTCAGACCTCACAAATTCAAAAGGTCTATTGATCATTGCTTTACTCCTACACTACAACCTATTTAAATCATAATGAGGAGCTTGGCCGCTATTTTACGATAATCACAAAAATTTCAATTTCATCAGCAAGTTTAAGTGTTTAACCACCATGTAGCTGGAAAATACCTCAACCAACTCTAAGATTCATTAAACAAAGAGTAAATTATAGTTTGGTCAAGTTGCTGATGAAAATCTCATAAACTTGAAAAAAAAAGTCCATGAAGAGTCTCGACATTAGTGATGACTTGTAGAATCGTGAATACACTGCCACCAACCTTTGTGTAACAACATTGATCAGGGGTTATTTCTTCTTCCCCAAAGTTGCATGTGAGTTGCAGGGGATAGGGTAGGCGATATTTGTATAAAATACCCGCTTGATTTTTTCCTCACTTGGTTCGTAATTTGCTTTGGGTATGAGATCTTTACGCTTATTTAGTTATTTTCGAGTTTTTTTAATAATGGGGGAGGGGGAAGAGGGGGGGTGAAGGGAATATAAGAGAAATATAAATAGTTAATTGTGCTCCTGAGTTATAGGGAAATGTAATGAATGGTAACCTTCCTTATAGTTGCATTTAGGGGTTTTAATTTGGATTTCATACATCTTTCAGAAATTGGAGATTTTAGATTTCTATACTTTTGGTCCTAGAAAAAAAAAACTTTTTTTATTGGACTTAATAGAAAATTCTGACGGTGTTAGGCAAAGGGGCCAACCGTGTTGGATTTTGAAACTATGAGGACCACAGGATTAAAACTGAAGATAAGTGCCAATGACAAGGACCAAACTGTAAATTTCTCTTTTGATCTTATATGTAGAAACGAAAGAATAATAAAATACACATCGATCGGTGGTTAGTGGTTACCAAGTTTGTCCTTTCCATCTATTTTCCTTCAAAAATTCGATTATCAAGTATATGGATAATCTACCTGAGGATCTCTGTATGAAAATCTTCTGTTTATTGGATCATAAGGACCTCGTAACAGCCCAGCAAGGTTAGTCAATTCAGGCTTTTACATAAACAATGAATGCTACTTACTCCAATCATATCACGTAAACTACATCCTCAATTCCGGAGCTTACGATGTAAAATTCAATATGTGTGATGAAATGATCGATCTCCATTCAGTTTCTGTGTGTGTACGTGATTGTTCTCTGTTTCTTGTCCGGAATTATGTGGTTATTGGTGATGGCCTTTACGAAAATGTTGAGTGCGATTGGTTTGGTCACAATTGGATGTTTTGGTTGTTTGATTTTGATTGCGTGTGATGCGGTTTTTTTATGAATTTCCAAAGATAAGATCTGGATCCAAGGATGCTGACTGTACTGTAGTCGGAAAGTTATCTTTAGTCTCTTTAGATACTCTTTCCCTTTTCTTTTTAATGTGGTAATTGATTTAAATCTAGCGGTCGAGAGAAACTTACAAAAGAATTGGTATATGTGTATATCATGACTCCATGTAGTGATATATTGGGTTTCTCTAGAGATTATCAGCTGTACAATTTTTCGTGGTCTTTTTTCATAGACAAATCAGAGAATTTTAGGATGAACGACATGTGATTAGGAAATTGATCTTGCATACACTCATCAAACCACAAGTGTACTAGTTTTGATGAGTTTGCAAATGGAAATGCTTGTATTTGGATGTTTATTCAGTCAGAGAAGTTGTGTTCAATAAATGCAACCTCTTAACCATGAAATTCTGTATTCTGTTTACCAAGAGTCCCTTATTAGAACAGAGTTTTGGCTTCTAGTTTTGTAACTTATGTTTTCAGAGAAAAAAATGGCCTGATTTCTTGTTGAACAAGAGTTGATATTGAAATTGGTGAGCTATAAGAGTGATAGAATAGTTTGTTGTTTGTTAACTTAAGTGTGCAGGAAGTGGAAGGTGTTTGGTTTGGAAAATGATCTTTGGTGTAACCTATTTAAAGAAAGATGGGGAATAGAGAGAGCCATATTTTATGCACCCACTGATGATTCAAAGTCATGGAAAGATGTATATGCAGTTCAAGATCGGTGTGATCGTGTTGGATTGTAAGTAACCATCACCATCACTTGCTAGTTGCTACTTATAATTATAAACAATAAGTATTCATTAAAAAGTGGTATAAATTGTTTGCAGGGGGCTGAAGATCATAAGGGAAGGAGATGACTATTTCCTGATCCACCAAGGAGAAATTCAAAGACATTTGGGTTCAAGAAATCTGCAAGATGATGCTTCTGCTTCAACAAGCTCAGATGCAACCAGGTATACAGAAGATGAGTTTATGGGTAGACGTGATCGCCAGATGGGGATTCTTGACAGAATCTTGTTCTTCATTGGAGACCTGGAAACTGCTTCAGCACCTGCAAAACGTGGTCGTTTCTTGTAGATGTTTCTCATCATTTATTATTTGTTCATCACCATCACCATGTAATGTATATTTCTGTTGTCTTGTAGCATGATGCTAATAAAGTCACAAAACTTGTATGTGTTTTGATCAGATTCCTCGGTTTTCATCTTCAATCAATTGTATGTAACATTATAAAATTCAGTATATGAATATGATTGGCAATTGTTGTTAAATGTTAATTTGCTGTTCAAGTATGTTGAATTTTGGTTGCAATCTCAACTTACTTTCGAATGTCAATTATCAATCGGGACCTCATTTAAATTGCATATACTTGTGATGTTATAAAAGAATCATGTTGTATGTATTATAGTTCACACTTGAAATCACACTAAAAAAACCAAGTTGTTGGACAAAAATACAGTCTCAAACAAATGTTTTTATTTGAGACCTTAATACAAGTAGGAAAATAATCGGTAAAATTATACATGATAATAATATAAATAATAATAAAAAAGTTGGTTCGACGCCGAGAGTCCTTGCAAGTCAGGCAGGCTACTTTAAGCTCTTTGTTCCACGTGTTTGTGTAGCCAGGTGGACATGGATGGTGCCGATTGAATAAACTAATCTTATCAAAACACAGGAATGACATGTGTTTGTTGGATGTGTTCTCATATTTGTATATGTCTATTTTGATGCTAATCATCATTTAATGGCTCAGTCTCCACATCTCTCTCTTTCAACGATGTCCAATCTTCCGACTCTGAAATTAATAAATAAAAAGTCTTAGTAAAAACAGCTTCAAATTAATAAATAAATCCGATCATCACTCACTTGGCTTATCGGTTATGACCAGTAATCGCCTCTGCAAAACAGAAGCCACAAAAAGGAAGATGGAGCACATTCCAAACATGATCGTAATGGGGAATGCATTTACCTTCAAACACAACCAAAAGAATAAATGTTAGGCATTTAAAGATGAAGAAAAATTTACAGAAAAAAAAAAAAAAGCAGCAGCATACATTGTAGAGCACGATGCAAACGAATATATTGAGGGGTATGCGAAAGAAGTTCATAATAGTGCTTCTGGCCTCCTCAGGAATGTATTGTGACCTCATTTTCATGATTGACGGCCAAAAGATTCCAACGCACGACTCAAAGACACAAAACCCAAGAAGTTGAATACTGCAACCCAACGAGATCCCTCCACCTTTCACCTCAGAAGGAGGAGGAGCTATTACGAAGAACTGTTACAAATTAAGAGGTTTAGAGGTTAGGTTATTTTATTTTTTATTTAAAAAAAAAAATTATAGGGAGATAGGTTTTATACGTTTGTGAGTATAGGAAGCAAAAGGGATGCTGCAGAAACCAAAAAGACAATCTGCATGTAGCTTTCGACTCTAGGTGAGGAACGGGCCATGAGTCTAGCTGCAAATGAGCTTCCTAACATGGATGCCAACATGAATGTCGCAAAAATAAAACCATGTGGAATCTCTTCATCATTTGGACTCAAAGCAGGAGTCCACAGGAATACAAACGTGTACATGGACCCTTCAAACAGAGACTGTATAGCTCCTAGCAGTGCAATTTTCTCATCTAGAGTTGAGACACGCAATTAGTTTCAAAATTAATCAACCAAAGCATAATTCATTTAAAAAAAAAAATGTACCTGAAGCAATAGCTACAGCAGCAGCCTTGAACTGGGAAAGCAGGTCTTTGTTGTCAGAAGGATCTCCATAGTTCTCACCCCATGAGGATAATATAATGGCCATCCCGATTGCAAGAAAGCATGCTGCAGCATCAAAGGGTGCTACAGGCCCTAGACTTACACTGTCCACTAGAAAGTTACCAAACAGCCCTGAGATGATTGCAACCAGACCGTTCCCCAGGAATATCGCCTTGGAGAAAGTTAAAGACAGCCATTGTTGCTCAAACCCTCTCTGAAATCAGATACATGTCAACCAATTTATTTTTATTTTTAAAAAAAAAAAACAAAATTACCTTGTTGTGTTCAGCAACGAGCCATGATTCAAACGAAGAAAACAGGAGAGAAGTAGCAACACCACCCAAGATACGACCCAACAGCAAAACCTTGTATTGAGGAGAATGCTTGGTCATGCAGCTCAGTATGTAAGTAATGCAGTATGTCACACATGCCCTCTTTCTACCCCTGTAATTTTCAGTAGCAAACAAACTTTAACTATATGAAAAATTGATGGCTGAGAGAGAGTTGAAAGCTTACTGTTTATCAGCTAGAGAGCCGACGATTGTGCCAAACAGCATGGAAGATCCAAATCCAGCAATAAATAGCTGCCCGATATCTCCTTTCCCATACCCGTATGTTGTGTAAAGGTAATACACATAAGGACCCTGCAACCAGTCTCCAGCTATACCCAGAACATCAGATTCAGAATCATAAACATTAACACATCCAAACAACTAAACATCTACATCTCTTAATCTTTTTTTTTTAATTTCTAACTATTCGTATACTTTCATCTCCTATAAAGAGTGAACATGTAATCCATTCCAAGTTTCTCTATCTTTCAACTTTACTATAGCATGACGGAATTTAGGTTTCAGCTCTACAAGCTTTAATTCTTCTTTATCAATCAAAAACAGATGGAGAACAAATAAGATCTGACAAGTAGACATCAGCACGAGTGGGTCTCTTATATACGAACTTCAATTTTTGGTGATTGCTTCATTAAATATTGAAAAAAAGCGAAAAATTAACTGATCAAACAAGGAATTGACAGTGCATCACTAGGTTTTACATTTACCAAAGATCCCGATCCGGCATCTCGTCGAATATATGTATATATACAAAGAGAGAGAGATTCACATTCAGAAGAAAGCGCGAATAATCAAATTCGCATCAGATCTTAAGGAGCACGTTAAGAACCTAAAAATAACAGCAAAAGTAAAGGAAATCGATCTGGCGTACCCATCATGAGAGAGTAGACAAGAAGATAATTGTTCTTGAAGGAAGTAAATGACTGAGAAGTGCTAATTCGATCTTTGTTGTTCTTACTCAACTCCAAAGCTGCCACAATCAATCCTAAACCCCCAAACACCATGTAATAGAACACCTCCATTTCAAAATTTTCAAAACTCAAAGGGGGAGTGAAGAAAATGTAGAGATGGGGGTAGTTGTAAGAAAATGGTTATGGAGTATGCAGCATCGATCACAGTAAAAATTTTCCGCGTGACAGAGAGAGGAAGCAGGATGAACGCGGTTTGCCTTCCTCACCAAAGATGAAAGATGTCCATTTTATGGCTTTACTACGTTTTAAATGACCCATTTTCGTCCATGTGCTTTTACCATTTTGTTTTTTTAATCCCTTAGCTTTGTTGTATGTAGTGTGTACTAGTAGGGGTGAGCATTTGGAGCGGACCGGACCGAATCGGATCGGACCGGCTCTTGGACCGGACCGGTTTCAGAGAATATTGTGGATTGTGGACCGGACCGGATGAGACTTACCGGGTCCAGGTCCAGGTCCGGGTTTTCCGGTTCTTGGACCCGTTTGGACCGGTACAACTTTACATGCATACGGTACAACTTGTTAAAACGCGTTTTTGGGTTTGATACAACTCGTTAAAACAAATATGTTGATGGGTTTGATACGTTACAACTCGTTAAAATGAATATTTTTTGGGTTTGATACGGTACAACTCGTAAAATTGAATATGTTTTCGTTTCTTGTGCCATTTGGATTGGTAAAACTTTGACTGTTTATACTTTATATCATTTGTTTGAAAGATTGTAACTGATTGAATATAACACTAAAAACAACAAAATTATAGTCTAAAATTATCTACAAACTCTAAATTACACATTGGAAAAATTACATGTCAATTCGACTTAAAACAAATAAGATATGCTTGTTTAAAGAGTTTCACATAATACAAAAGTTTAAATTTCTTACTGAAAAGCTGAAATATTTCAGCTTTGATATCTAATCTTTAAATGTTTGTAACTCATCAAATATAACACCAAAAACAACAAAATTATAGTCTAAAATCATCTACAAATTCTAAATTACATGTTGGAAAAAACCGCATGTCAATCTGACTTAAAACGAATGAGATATTCTTGTTTAAAGAATTTCATAGAATACAAAAGTTTAAATTTCTTGCTGAAAAGCTGAAATATTTCAGTTTTGATATCTCATCTTTGATGGATTGTAACTCATCAAATATAACACCAAAAACAACTAAATTATAGTCTAAAATCATCTACAAACTCTAAATTATATGTTGCAAAAAACCGCATGTCAATCTGACTTAAAATGAATGAGATATGTTTGTTTAAAGAATTTCACAGAATACAAAAGTTTTAATTTTTGCTGAAAAGCTGAAATATTTCAGCTTTGATATCTCATCTTTGAAGGATTATAACTCATCGAATATAACACCAAAAACAACAAAATTATAGTCTAAAATCATCTATAAACTCTAAATTACACGTTGCAAAAAACCGCATGTCAATCAAACTTAAAACGAATGAGATATGATTGTTTAAAGAATTTCACAGAATGCAATTTTTTTAAAAAAAATAAGTCGGTCCAAAACCGGTTTTTACCAGAAACCGGCCGGACCGGACCGGTTTTTCTCAAGTCCTAGAACCGAGAACCGGCCCGGGATCCAAAAAAAGGTCCGGTCCGGTCCGGTTCATCGGTCTGGTCCGGTCCACAAGTCTAAATGCTCACCCCTAGTGTGTAGTTGTGTACCACACTACCGATTACTTCCTTTTTGGTTAGCAATTTTTATGAGTCCAAAATATCATATCAATGGGAAATGCCACTCTAGCACATTGAACTTAGGTGTTTTATCCGATTTGATCATTTATGTTTTTTTCTTTTTTTACACAATAAGCCATCTAATTTATATTGTACATGTTAATTAAGTCACTTTCATTAGTTTTTAACAGATCATCCTTTAACCAATTATTCTAAATTACATGAATGGTCCCTATTATTTCAGTTTCTTTTGTGCAGAGTCCCTAGATCCTCCATATCGGAGCCATGTTTTCATACGAATCCCTCGCACCACCGAAATCTTTCTTAACAGTCACCACATCCTTCATTGCCTCCGCACTCCTCTTCAGAACCATCACTTCGAATCTCATTCCAACTGAGTACATCAAATCCCTCTTCAAACGCTTCTCTGCCTAACTCACCGTCTTCATTAAGGAATTCGATCACCTCACCCCCAACCAGCTCTTCAAAGCCGCCAATATTTATTTGGGCACCAATTTATCTCCCTCCACACATTGAATCAAAGCTAATAACGCTGAAAAAGACAACGAAGTCACAGTCACAGCTGATTACAGCCAACCCATAATCGATGTCTTACAAATCGTGAAAGGCACCTGGTTTTTGCACACCGAAGTGATCGAGATCGATCACAAGTCGAATTCTCAGTATGAACTTAAGTTCTTTGAACTAAATTTTCACAAGAAGCATAAAGAAACAGTGTTGAAGAATTACTTGCTTTATTACTAAAAAAAGTTATGTATCTAGACAAGAAAGTAGAGGTTGTGGAGGATCTTGATATGTTTGTAAAGAGGAAAGAGTATTACAGAAGGGTATGGAGGGCTTGGACACAAGGGTAATTCTTTTTTGCATCAGGTTTTGATCGAGTTACAGATTCCGATGAAAGGTGACATTCTAGTCGGAGTTGACGATGAGGGATGAGGTGGAGGTGGAGGTGGAGGTGGGGGGACATCCTAGCCGGAGAATAAGACTTGGAGTATGGCAGACCCATTTTTTCCAATGGTACTGGATTCAGAGTTGACAGAGGGATGGGACAGGTGATGGTTGGCGGTCACCAGTGGTAGTTTCTGGTGGCTGGCGGGTTTCTGATAGCGGTAGGTGATGGTTGGTATTGACAGGTAGTGGTTAGAGATCAAGTGTTTCATTTGTTTCAGAAGGAGGGACCAAACACAAAAGAACTTAAAATCATAGAGATCGTTCGTGTAATTTAGAATAATTGGTTAACGATGGATCTGTTAAAAACTAACGAAAGTGACTTAATCGACATATACAATATAAGTTAGATTGCCTGTTACGCAAAAAAAAAAAAAAAAAAAAAAAGTCATAAATGGTCAAATTTGACAAAACACTTAAGTTTATTGTGTTACATTGACATTTCCTATGTTTGAACTTTGAATCTTAAATCTTGGTTTTCAACTTAGCATATATTGCTAGTATGATAGTATGATACTGATTCCAATTTCTAAGTATGAATGTATTGTAAAATTGATTACTATAATTTAAAAGTTTTAATAATTAATTTTTTTTATGTTTATATAAATTTATATTGGTAGATCGAGGATAAAAATGGTTTTTATTGACAATACTTGTGTTTTGGTTTGTTCCACATCAGTGGGAAAAGGAATAGAGTGTGTGTTTATAAGTGTAAAAATGTGTAAAATATTTTAATTAATTACCCAATGTTGTATGTAGATTTTTTATTAATTTCGTTGGTTTATATAGTTAACCGTTTTTTGACATTTTTTGTTTGTTGGAAAAGCGGTTATATCGGATAAGATTTAACTAATAGCAACTGTTGTTATTATGGTAGGTGTTCATTGATTCAAGTCCATTGAATTTCGATAGAGCCATTACAATGCAATAATCTATTGGATGTTGAATTTTGTCAACCGTTCTAATACAATTCAATATATAAAATCAAACCGAACCGATCTAATTAGATGTTGTATTGCATATGTTTTATTCATTGGATATTTTTTATTGGTTAATCTATTAATTATCCATTATCTAACCAATTTTAATCTCTTGCTTTCGAATAACCAAATATAACTATGATAATTAAAAATAAAACCGGACACAATTACGTTAAATAAGACTAACAAAGTAACATTAATTTCAAGTCGTCAACTTATTTTCTTACTGAATAATTAATAATATTAACTGGATTTGGATAATAATATTCAATCTTTGTGTGGATTAAAATTGGATATACATTTGGATTGATTCAGTTAAGATATTCATTCAATTGTCAGGATGATCCAATTCAATTGGATTTTGAAATTTCGCATCCGATCTAATCTGATTGTAATTAGATATCCAATCCAATCGGTCGGTTCGTAATTAGATTGGTTAAATTCTACATACCACTAATTTTTATAAATGTTAGAAAATAGATAAAATTCGTTATTAACTTTTCTTCCATTCTACATATAATTTCTAAAACAAAAACACTACAAAGATATTCACTCGGATTTTAAAGAAGATTTCTTGAATCTTTAGTTTGAGGTAGAATCAATGGAGGAAACTAGTTTGTAATCCATTTGTTATTGAATCTTTAGTTTGAGGTAGAATCGTGGGAGGAAACTAGTTTCTAATCCATCTGTTCTTGAATCTTTAGTTTGACGTCGAATCGTGGGAGGAAACTAGTTTGTAATCCATCTGTTTTGTAGTACGAGATAATATTTCTTAGAAATGGTATATAACACCGCATGTCATGCTGAGATGAGGTGTCACTGTGGTGGTATGGTGAACACCACACCATCTGTTGTGCAGTAGTGCGGTGAGATGCCCCATAGAAGACGAATACATCGCACCCATTTTTCTCTTTTCTTTTATAACAATTCTTTTCTTCTTTTTTCCTTTTTGATTTTTTACCCCTATAAAATCACACATTTTACTCATTATCTCACATAACTTTCTACCACTATTCAAACCTCGAGAAATGACTTAGAAGGGTAACATTATTTTTGTTTTGTACATATATAGTTTGTTATGTGTGTTTTTATTGAAAAAATACACCAGCAAACTTGTTAGTTTTGTCCATATTCAATCATTTTGACCTGTAACTTTAGGTTTTGCTGAAGTGTCATCGTACGTGGCATAATCACTAATGAGATGTCATCATGCATGGCTTATTCTATAGGAAATTTGACTTAAAAGAGTAACATTGTTTTCAGCTTGTATACATTTAGTCCCTTATATATATATATATATATATATATATATATATATATACACATACACACACACACACATAAACTCGTTGATTTTTTACATATTTAGTCCCTTATGTATTATTTTTTCAAAATACACTCTAATGTCCTCCAACGTTGTTGTAGTTGGCTTCCTTCTAGCATCAAGTATAGCAACATTGAAGCTCTCTAACACTTGATTTTCCACTTCATCGCAGTTTATAACCTCCTTAAGAAAAGCCTTTGACCTTCATTTTAGGCCCTTCTCTATGAGATAGTCAT